AATTGCTTCAAAGAAACCACTACTAAAGGACTCCAATAAGAAGAAGAGACCTGCTTGGGCCAAGAAACACGAGCAATGGACATAAGACCGGTGGAAATGTGTCGTTTGGTCTGGAGTCCAAATTGGAGAATTGTGGTTCCAACCGCTGTGTCTTTGTGAGACGTGGTGTGGGTGAACGGATGATCTCTGCATGTGTATTTCCCACCGTTAAGCATGGAGGAGGAGGTGTTATGGTGTGGGGGTGCTTTACTGGTGACACTGTCTGTGATTTATTTAGAATTCAAGGCACACTTAAACCAGCATGGCTACCACAGCAATCTGCAGCGATACACCATCCCATCTGATATGGGCTTAGTGGGACTATCATTTGTTTTTCAACAGGACAATGACCCAACAGACCTCCAGGCTGTGTAAGGGCTATTTTACCAAGAAGGAGCGTGATGGAGTGCTGCATCAGATGATCTGGCCTCCACAATCCCCCGACAACCCAATTGAGATGGTTTGGGATGAATCGGACGGCAGAGTGAAGGAAAAGCAGCCAACAAGTGCTCAGCATATGTGGGAACTCCTTCAAGACTTTTGGAAAAGCATTCCAGGTGAAGCTGGTTGAGAGAATTCCAAGAGTGTGCAAAGCTGTCATCAAGGCAAAAGGTGGCTATTTGAAGAATCTCAAATGTAAAATATATTTTGATTTGTTTAACGCTTTTTTGGTTACTACATGATTCCATATGTGTTATTTCATCGTTTTGATGTCTTCACTTATATTCTAAAATGTAAAAAAATTTAAAAATAAAGAAAAAACATTGAATGAGTAGGTGTGTCCAAACCTTTTACTAGTACTGTATGTATGTTTTGTTTTTATCTAAAAAGCTGTTTTCGCTTTGTCGTTATGGGGTATTGTGTGTAGATTGATGAGGAAAATGTTTTATTTATTCAATTTTAGAATAAGGCTGTTACGTAACAAAATATGGAAAAAGTGAAGGGGTCTGAACACTTTCCGAATGCACTGTATAAAGTTGTATGAGTTTCTTCCATTCTGTGGATGGAGGTAATTTAGGTTTTGCCTTAAGCTTGTGCTTATAACTTCTCTTCCACACTCACCGATGGTTGTGAAAGTGGTAGTGTGTGGTTCAGTAGGCTAGGGGTTATTTTGTGGACTAGGACAGTCCACATCCAGAGCCAGTTAGTCTGTCTAAGGCCAGTCCCCTCCCCTGTGTGTAGTTAATTGTTGACAGTAGTCCCCAGTGTATAGTAGATACTAGACTAGTTGACAGAGCAGCGTGTGTGATTGCTCGTGTGTGTAGATAGTTCACAGTGTAGCTGAACCTCGTGGCCTGTGGCCGAGTGGTGACGACTCCCAGAGGACTACTATTTCAACACGGTGTTAAAAGGCCATTAAACATGTCTACTGTAGAGGATCTGTGATTAATAATATTACTGTATGTGCCGTGGTGCAAAACAATTCAGGCTCTTCTTCAAGTCTCCTTATACTTAATATCTCTACCTACTTAAAGTATCCTTATACTTTATTTATGCCATATCTATAAAGTGCAAGAACACATCATATTTTTTAGTTTAAACTTAATTATTTAAATTCAGAAGGATTTAAGTTTTAGTACGATAACACTGAGTAAAATTCCTATATTTCACTTTATTCTCTAGTCTGTGGTGTGTTATCAGGAGGTGTGTGATCAGGATGTGTGTGATCAGGATGTGTGTTATCAGGAGGTGTGTTATCAGGAAGTGTGTTATCAGGAGGTGTGTGATCAGGATGTGTGTTATCAGGAGGTGTGTTATCAGGAGGTGTTTTCTCAGGAGGTGTGTTATCAGGAGGTGTGTTATCAGGAGGTGTGTTATCAGGAGGTGTGTTATCAGGAGGTGTTTTCTCAGGAGCTGTGTTATCAGGAAGTGTGATATCAGGTGGTGTGTTATCAGGAGGTGTGTTATCAGGAGGTGTGTTATCAGGAGGTGTGTTATCAGGAGGTGTTTTCTCAGGAGGTGTGTTATCAGGAAGTGTGTTATCAGGTGGTGTGTTATCAGGAGGTGTGTTATCAGGAGGTGTGTTATCAGGAGGTGTGTTATCAGGAAGTGTGTTATCAGGTGTGTTATCAGGAAGTGTGTTATCAGGAGGTGTGTTATCAGGAGGTGTGCTCTTCAATCATCTTCAATAGTAAACTCAATTTAATTAATTCATCCTCACCCTGCTTGTGATTGGATGCCTGTCTCAGTAACATATTGCATGAGGGACCTCTGGGACTCATAGCGGGCAGGAGTGCAGGGTGGGATGGGGGACGACGGCAGCTGTCTACGAGATGGAGTGTGTGTGTGTGGGTGGGTGGGTGTGTCACAGCAAGGTGGAAGAAACCGAGTGTGTGTTTACGAGATGGAGTGTGTGTGTGTCACAGCGGAGTGTGTGTGTGTGTGTCACAGCGGAGTGTGTGTGTGTGTCACAGCGGAGTGTGTGTGTGTGTCACAGCGGAGTGTGTGTGTGTGTGTCACAGCGGAGTGTGTGTGTGTGTCACAGTGGAGTGTCTGAAACAGAGTATCACTCTCATTAGTCTCATGCAGGGCCATTGTGCTGTCACAACTTTTCATTCACCCAGTAATCAGGGTGTGTTTGTGTGAGAGGAAAATCACTATCTCGTTCCCTGTGTCTAATGTAAAGGTCTAGTAGCCCGTCACAAGGTTAGCCTAGCCAGCTTGTAAAGTAGGTATCAGATAGTAAAGGCAGGAGATTAGGTCTCCTGTAGCTCAGTTGGTAGAGCATGGCGCTTGCAACGCCAGGGTTGTGGGTTCGTTTCCCACGGGGGGCCAGTATGAAAATATGTATGCACTCACTAACTGTAAGTTGCTCTGGATAAGAGCGTCTACTAAATGACTAAAAACAAACAAAAAAGTAAAATAATTAACCTGCAGCGGGGGGGCCTGTGTGACTGTGGGCCACCAACTAAAGTACACCTTTATGGCCCTTAAACACACATACACACACGGACCTGTGACTACAACTTCTAATCTTCATTTAGAAAAACAACAACACAGCATGCACACAAAAGGGGATGGAAGGTAAAAGTTGCAGCGTTACTCCTGATTAGATCTAAAAATCTGTTGATGTTCCTGGTGTAACAACCCATGTTTCTGTCCTACCGTATATCCTCAGGAAAATGTCACCATGGAAATTCGGATGGAAATGAAAGAAGTAATATTTTTGGAGTGGTTTGCTACTTCTGTTCTGCTGTAGCAGTGATTCTAGAGGATTGGTAGTAGAGACATGTTGTCCTCTTTTCTCTCTCTTTGCTGCTCTAAAGCAACTCATAATAACCAACTCAACATCAAGCTTTGATGATTAGAATCAGCTGTGTAGTGCTAGGGCAAAAACCAAAATGTGCACCCGGTCCTTAGCAATTGAGTTTTAAGAGTATTTCTTGCGCTTACCTAGCTCAAATTCTAGGACGTCGGATTCAAACGAAACTATAGCGTCCATAAAGTGACCATTGAGCATAAAAAATGCTGGATTTACTAAGTTTGTAGGTGCAACAGTTTTTATAAAATGAATAATTAAAAGCTATCACGTGCATATTTCCGTCCGTTAAGAAACAACGATGTGCTACGATGTGCTTTTTGTAGCATTTCTGACAATGCTAACATCTTTTCAGCTGAATCTCAGAGTTCTAATGCCGGGTTGCTCGGCAACAACACAGCTGCTTACACCATGATGCCAGTCATAACAAGTGTACTGTATGCGGACAAACCTAGGCTACTGTATATAGCTAGCTATATGGTGGTATTCAAGCTGAGGTTAATCAATAAATGCAAAACGATATTTTGATTAGCTAGGTAGCTAACTAGCTAATGTTACCTAGCTAACGTTAGTTAAGTTGAAAATAAGTATTTGGTTGTTTCTGGAGCTTGTTCATGTATTTTTGCATGCCCTGATACTGCACAACGAGCAATGAGGAAGTGATTGATTTGGCTTGTTTCTCAAAAACAAGTGAAATCACAGAAAAAGTGTCTGGACCCTTCTATGGCATGTCATTTACATAAAAAAATAGAGATTTACTTCAGAAATAGAAAAATTATCCTTTAAGGCAAAAACGAGGGTGGTTGGTCAGGGTGGAAGGATGAGCGTATAACGTGAATGTCTAGCAACCCAGAAGTTGAGTGTTTGAATCTCATCAACTTTAGCATTTTAGCTACTTACTTATTTGTAGCTACTTTTCAACTGCTTAGCATGTTAGCTAACCCTTTCTCTAACCTTAACTTTAAACCTTTAACATAACTCCTAACCTCACTCCTAACCTTAACCCTAACCCCTAGCCTAGCTAACGTTAGCCACCTAGCTAATGTTAGCCACAACAAATTGGAATTTGTAACATATCTTACGTATTGCAAATTCATAACATACTGCACGAATTGAAATTCGTAGCATATCATACAAATTGCAATTCGTAACACATCATAAGAGTTGTAATTGTAATAAATGAACATCCACAAATTAATATATACCATACGAAACATAACATATGCTAAATGGAGTGTCTCAGATTTACGTACAGAATAATACGAAATGCTATGAGATCAGGTTGCAGCTAGCATGCAGTCAAAAGAAAAGGAAATGCTTGTTAACTACGTGATTAAATGAGTCTCTTTTCAACAAATCAACTGTTTTAGACTATTGTATTTTAACCAAGCAAGAGAAATAAACGTGAACTCACTACTGAGTGAATTAACAAAATAATTTTCGAACAAAGGCTTCCAGACATTTAAATGGTCTGTCGAAGTCAATGTGTTAAGAACAGGATTCATAGTGTAATGGTTAAAGTTACCGCTTGTGGATCAGAACATTGCGGTGTGTGTTTGCGAGATTGTGTGTGTATGGGAGAATGTGCCTTATACTTTTATTGTGTGAGTTCATTGTTCATTGTGTTCTTTACTCACCCCCCCCCCCCCCCCCCCCCCCACAGAGGTCCTTCCGTTCATTCAGTAATGATGACCGTCACGTCATGGCCAAGCACTCCTCCATCTACCCATCATCGTCTGAGCTGGAGTCAGTCCAGACCCTGGTGTCCACCGTGGAGGGTGCCCTCAAACACGTCTCTGATTGGATAGACCAGAGCAACGTCCAATCAGTGCAGAGCAGCAGCCAGACAGACGCAGCAACCGGCCAGACAGACGGCCAGACAGAAGCAGGAGTCAGCCTGACAGACGGCCAGCCCAACCCCACAGATAGCCCAGTGACAGAGGATGGTAGCGGTGACCATGATGGTGACCTTAACCCTAACGACGACCCCAGTGTTAGTCCCAGAGCCAGCCCAGATGACTCCACAGACGGCAGCAGCAGGTGGGCATCTGGTTCTAACCGATGCATGCTGGGATATAAGGGGTTGTCTTGTGGCTGATGGTTAGACTAACATTTTTGGTCTTCAAGTGCTGACATATTTTTATGATCTTGTTGATTTTATGAGATTTTTGGGATAACCTGGGTTTAAATAATTGCAAACCCAAAATGGGACCTAGGTCTGATAGTTTGTTTAAATATGTTGAGTGTAACCCTGCTATCTGTCTGTTATCCTCAGCGAGCCCAGTGGAGGTGTTCTGTGTGGGGTGATGAGGATCGGCCTGGTGGCTAAAGGTCTGCTCATCAAACAGGACATGGACCTGGAGCTGGTGCTGATGTGTAGAGAGAAACCTACAGAGACACTGCTGTGTACTGTCTGTGATAACCTGCCCCTGCAGATACATGTAAGAGAGAGCGAGACGCACACACGCACGCACACACGCACACATGGAACCAGTTCATCCAGCAGTCTGTGGCATGTTTGGCTCATCTATTCTCCTTCTGTTGGCAAGAAACACTCAGCACCTGTGTGCAAAAGGTAGATGGACTTTTGTAATGTAGTAAATACTCTGGCCCAACATCCTGTAAGAAGTCAGTCAGTCCTCCTTACCCCACCATCATCCATCTCATAATAGTTCTAAGTGTGCTCTGTAGGGCACTGCAGAATCAGAAAGTAGGCTACGGGCAGAGTCAGTAAGTAGGCTACTGGAAGACGTCGTGGAGAGGGCAGCAACAGAAGCAGAGAGAGGAGAAGAAACTGTGGTATTAATAAGCTGCTAGCATGTGTAATTAATATAGGAGTGTCAGCCGGGAGATTTCCTAATTAGTCAAACACATGCACAGCAGGAACGGAAAAACACACACACTCGCGGACGTGCACACATGTAGTTAAGGTTATACTTACTTAGCTACATAGACAGGTATACTTATATAAACTGTCTTATAGGCCCTGTCTTATAGGCCATGTCTTATAGGAAGTGTCTTATAGGAAGTGTCTTATAGGAAGTGTCTTATAGGAAATGTCTTATAGGAACTGTCTTATAGGAACTTCGCTGTATACTTCCTAATTCCAATCATACCTGCTTCTCATGAGCACACGGCTCTACTGTATAGTACTGTATGCCGACATCCGCCTACAATCTTGTAACATGACACATATGGCCTCATATACACAGTATCCAGTATATTCTCCACACCAGAATTAGCTTTCAGGCTCCACGTCAGAACTAGCTTTCAGCCTCCACACCAGAACTAGCTTTCAGCGTCCACACCAGAACTAGCTTTCAGCCTCCACACCAGAACTAGCTTTCAGCCTCCACGTCAGAATTAGCTTTCAGCCTCCACGTCAGAACTAGCTTTCAGCCTCCACGTCAGAACTAGCGTTCAGCCTCCACATCAAAACTAGCTTTCAGCCTCCACACCAGAACTAGCTTTCAGCCTCCACATCAGAACTAGTTTTCAGCCTCCACACCAGAACTAGCGTTCAGCCTCCACACCAGAACTAGCTTTCAGCCTCCACACCAGAACTAGCTTTCAGCCTCTACTCCAGAACTTGCTTCAACTTCCACATCAGAACTAGCTTTCAGCCTCCACACCAGAACTAGCTTTCAGCCTCCATGCCAGAAGTAGTTTCAACTTCCACATCAGAACTAGATTTCAGTCTCCACACCAGAACTAGCGTTCAGCCTCCACGTCAAAACTAGCTTTCAGCCTCCACATCAGAACTATCTTTCAGCCTCCACATCAGAACTAGCATTCAGCCTCCACATCAGAACTAGATTTCAGTCTCCACACCAGAACTAGCTTTCAGCCTCTACATCAGAACTAGCTTTCAGCCTCCACACCAGAACTGGCTTTCAGCCTCCACGCCAAAACTAGTTTTCAGCCTCCACACCAGAACTAGCTTTCAGCCTCCACATCAGAACTAGTTTTCAGCCTCCACACCAGAACTAGCTTTCAGTCTCCACACCAGAACTAGCTTTCAGCCTCCACATCAGAACTAGCTTTCAGCCTCCACATCAGAACTACCTTTCAATCTCCACACCAGAACTAGCTTTCAGCCTCCACGCCAGAAGTAGCTTCAACTTCCACACCAGAATTAGCTTTCAGCCTCCACGTCAGAACTAGCTTTCAGCCTCCACACCAGAACTAGCTTTCAGCGTCCACACCAGAACTAGCTTTCAGCCTCCACACCAGAACTAGCTTTCAGCCTCCACACCAGAACTAGCTTTCAGCCTCCACACCAGAACTAGCTTTCAGCCTCCACATCAGAACTAGCTTTCAGCCTCCACGTCAGAACTAGCTTTCAGCCTCAACGTCAGAACTAGCTTTCAGCCTCCACGAGAGAACTAGCTTTCAGCCTCCACATCAGAACTAGCTTTCAGCCTCCACACCAGAACTAGCTTCAACTTCCACATCAGAACTAGATTTTAGCCTCCACACCAGAACTAGCTTTCAGGCTCCACGTCAGAACTAGCTTTCAGCCTCCACATCAGAACTAGCTTTCAGCCTCCACACCAGAACTAGCTTTCAGCCTCCACACCAGAACTAGCTTTCAGCCTCCACGTCAGAATTAGCTTTCAGCCTCCACGTCAGAACTAGCTTTCAGCCTCCACGTCATAATTAGCTTTCAGCCTCCACGTCAGAACTAGCTTTCAGCCTCCACATCAAAACTAGCTTTCAGCCTCCACACCAGAACTAGCTTTCAGCCTCCACATCAGAACTAGTTTTCAGCCTCCACACCAGAACTAGCTTTCAGCCTCCACACCAGAACTAGCTTTCAGCCTCTACTCCAGAACTTGCTTCAACTTCCACATCAGAACTAGCTTTCAGCCTCCACACCAGAACTAGCTTTCAGCCTCCATGCCAGAAGTAGCTTCAACTTCCACATCAGAACTAGATTTCAGTCTCCACACCAGAATTAGCTTTCAGCCTCCACGTCAAAACTAGCTTTCAGCCTCCACACCAGAACTAGCTTTCAGCCTCCACACCAGAACTAGCGTTCAGCCTCCACGTCAAAACTAGCTTTCAGCCTCCACGACAGAACTAGCTTTCAGCCTCCACATCAGAACTAGCATTCAGCCTCCACATCAGAACTAGATTTCAGTCTCCACACCAGAACTAGCTTTCAGCCTCTACATCAGAACTAGCTTTCAGCCTCCACACCAGAACTGGCTTTCAGCCTCCACGCCAAAACTAGTTTTCAGCCTCCACACCAGAACTAGCTTTCAGCCTCCACATCAGAACTAGTTTTCAGCCTCCACACCAGAACTAGCCTTCAGTCTCCACACCAGAACTAGCTTTCAGCCTCCACATCAGAACTAGCTTTCAGCCTCCACATCAGAACTAGCTTTCAGCCTCCACACCAGAACTAGCTTTCAGCCTCTACATCAGAACTAGCGTTCAGCCTCCACACCAGAACAAGCTTTCAGCCTCCACACCAGAACTAGATTTCAGCCTCCACACCAGAACTACCTTTCAGCCTCCACGTCAGAACTAGCTTTCAGCCTCCACACCAGAACTAGCTTTCAGCCTCCACATCAGAACTAGATTTCAGCCTCCACACCAGAACTAGCTTTCAGCCTCCACGTCAGAACTAGCTTTCATCCTCCACATCAGAACTAGCTTTCAGCCTCCACGCTAGAACTAGCTTTCAGCCTCCACACCAGAACTAGCTTACAGGCTCCATATCAGAACTAGCTTTCAGCCTCCACGTCAGAACTAGCTTTCAGCCTCTATATCAGAATTAGCTTTCAGCCTCCACGTCAGAACTAGCTTTCAGCCTCCACATCAAAACTAGCTTTCAGCCTCCATACCAGAACTAGCTTTCAGCCCTCATCAGAAGTAGCTTTCAGCCTCCACATCAGAACTAGCTTTCAGCCTCCACATCAGAACTAGCTTTCAGCCTCCACATCAGAACTACCTTTCAGCCTCCACACCAGAACTAGCTTTCAGCCTCCACGCCAGAAGTAGCTTCAACTTCCACACCAGAACTAGCGTTCAGCCTCCACACCAGAACTAGCTTTCAGCCTCTACATCAGAACTAGGTTCAGCCTCCACACCAAACTAGCTTTCAGCCTCCACACCAGAACTAGCTTTCAGCCTCCACACAGAAAGCTTTCATCCACACAGAACTAGCTTTCACCTCCACATCAGAACTAGCTTTCAGCCTCCACTCAGAACTAGCTTTCAGCTCCACATCAAACTAGCTTTCAGCCTCCACACCAGAACTAGCTTTCAGCCTCCACTCAGAACTAGCTTTCAGCCTCCACACCAGAACTAGCTTTCAGCCTCCACATCAGAACTGTATTTCAGCCTCCACGCCAGAACTAGCTTTCAGCCTCCACGTCAGAAGTAGCTTTCAGCCTCCACATCAGAACTAGCTTTCAGCCTCCACGTCAGAACTATCTTTCAGCTCCACACCAGAACTAGCTTTCAGCCTCACACATCAAACTAGTTTCAGCCTCCACACCAGAACTAGCTTTCAGCCTCCACTCAAATAGCTTTCAGCCTCCAGCAGACACTAGCTCAGAAACTAGCTTTTCAGCCTCCACACAGAACTAGCTTTCAGCCTCCACATCAGAACTGTTTCAGCCTCCACACCAGAACTAGCTTTCAGCCTCCACACCAGAACTAGCTTTCAGCCTCCACATCAGAACTAGCTTTCAGCCTCCACATCAGAACTAGCTTTAGCCTCCACAAACATTTCAGTCTCACACATCTAGCTTTCAGCCTCTACATCAGAACTAGCTTCAGCCTCCACACAGAACAGCTTTCAGCCTCCACCCAGAATAGCTTTCAGCTCCACATCAGAAGTAGCTTCAGCCTCCACACCAGAACTAGTTTCAGCCTCCACATCAGAACAGCTTCAGCTCCCACCAGAACTAGGTTCACTTCCACATCGAACAGATCGCCTCCACACCAGACTTAGCTCAGCCTACTCGAAGTGCTTTAGCTCCGTCAGAACTAGCTTTTCGCCTCCATGTAGAATGCTTAGCCTCTAATAGAATGCTTTCATCATCAGAGATAGTTCAGTCACACCGATGTCAGTCCACATCGAACTGCTTTCAGCCTCCACATCAGACACTTCAGCCTCCAAACCAAACTAAGTTCACCTCCACGCCAGAAGTAGCCAACTTGCACACAGAACTAGCGTTCAGCCTCCACACCAGAAAACTAGTTTCAGCTCTACATAGTAATAGCCTCCAGCCAGGGTGTGGTCATTCCGGACCACCCATGCACAACTTATGCGAGTGAAGGTCGTCTAGTGGATAAATCTGTAATGGCAATTAATGACTCTGTCCTAATAAAGCAACAGAGGAGAAGTAGAGGTGGTGCGTGCCAGAGGCGGCCATCTTGGTGTGTAGCACGACGGAGCCCAAACTCACCCTGAAGGTCACCCTCAGCTCCCCACAGATGAGAGAGGACAGTGACACGGATGAACAAGGTACCACACTCACGTCTGTGTAAAACCTAGCTGCTGTTTTCGTGTTTATGTTTGTCTTATGCTTGTCTGTTGTCTTTTTTCCCCCTCCAACTGAGGTAGTGAAATGGGGTTAGGGGGATAAAGAAAGGAGTGTCTTTGCATCGAAGAGGGATATAGAGGTGTGTGTGTCGAGCAGCAGCAGTATTGTTAGCAGCGCTCCACTGGGACACATTAATCAAATCAAATCAAATCAAATTTTATTGGCCACATGCGCCGAATACAACAGGTGCAGACAGTACAGTGAAATGCTTACTTACAGCCCTTAACCAACAACCAAACAACCAAAAAAAGTGTTGAGAAAAAAAGAGCAGAAGTAAAATAAAATAACAGTAGGGAGGCTATATATACAGGGGGGTACCGGTGCAGAGTCAATGTGCGGGGGCACCGGCTAGTTGAGGTAGTTGAAGTAATATGTACATGTGGGCAGAGTTAAAGTGACTATGCATAAATAATTAACAGAGTAGCAGCAGCGTAAAAGGATGGGGTGGGGGGGCAGTGCAAATAGTCCGGGTAGCCATGATTAGCTGTTCAGGAGTCTTATGGCTTGGGGGTAGAAGCTGTTGAGAAGTCTTTTGGACCTAGACTTGGCACTCCGGTACCGCTTGCCGTGCGGTAGCAGAGAGAACAGTTTATGACTAGGGTGGCTGGAGTCTTTGACAATTTTGAGGGCTTTCCTCTGACACTGCCTGGTATAGAGGTCCTGGATGGCAGGAAGCTTGGCCCCAGTGATGTACTGGGCCGTACGCACTACCCTCTGTAGTGCCTTGCGGTCGGAGGCCAAGCAGTTGCCATACCAGGCGGTGATGCAACCAGTCAGGATGCTCTCGATGGTGCAGCTGTATACTTTTTTTAGGATCTGAGGACCCATGCCAAATCTTTTCAGTCTCCTGAGGGGGAATAGGCTTTGCCGTGCCCTCTTCACGACTGTCTTGGTGTGTTTGGACCATGATAGTTCGTTGGTGATGTGGACACCAAGGAACTTGAAGCTCTCAACCTGTTCCACTACAGCCCCGTCAATGAGAATGGGGGCGTGCTCAGTCCTCTTTTTTTCCTGTAGTCCACAATCATCTCCTTTGTCTTGGTCACGTTGAGGGAGAGGTTGTTGTCCTGGCACCACACGGCCAGGTCTCTGACCTCCTCCCTATAGGCTGTCTCATCGTTGTCGGTGATCAGGCCTACCACTGTTGTGTCGTCGGCAAACTTAATGATGGTGTTGGAGTCATGCCTGGCCATGCAGTCATGGGTGAACAGGGAGTACAGGAGGGGACTGAGCACGCACCCCTGAGGGGCCCCCGTGTTGAGGATCAGTGTGGCAGATGTGTTGTTACCTACCCTTACCACTTGGGGGTGGCCCGTCAGGAAGTCCAGGATCCAGTTGCAGAGGGAGGTGTTTAGTCCCAGGATCCTTAGCTTAGTGATGAGCTTTGAGGGCACTATGGTGTTGAATGCTGAGCTGTAGTCAATGAATAGCATTCTCACGTAGGTGTTCCTTTTGTCCAGGTGGGAAAGGGCAGTGTGGAGTGCAATAGAGATTGCATCATCTGTGGATCTGTTGGGGCGGTATGCAAATTGTAGTGGGTCTAGGGTTTCTGGGATAATGCTGTTGATGTGAGCCATGACCAGGATTTCAAAGCACTTCATGGCTACAGACGTCAGTGCTACGGGTCGGTAGTCATTTAGGCAGGTTATCTTAGAGTCCTTGGGCACGGGGACTATGGTGGTCTGCTTGAAACATGTTGGTATTACAGACTCAGTCAGGGACATGTTGAAAATGTCAGTGAAGACACTTGCCAGTTGGTCAGCACATGCTCGGAGTACACGTCCTGGTAATCCGTCTGGCCCTGCGGCCTTGTGAATGTTGACCTGCTTAAAAGTCTTACTCACATCGGCTACGGAGAGCGTGATCACATAGTCATCCGGAACAGCTGGTGCTCTCATGCATGCTTCAGTGTTGCTTGCCTCGAAGCGAGCATAGAAGTGGTTTAGCTCGTCTGGAAGTCTTGTGTCACTGGGCAGCTCGCGGCTGTGCTTCCCTCTGTAGTCTGTAATAGTTTTCAAGCCCTGCCACATCCGACGAGCGTCAGAGCCAGTGTAGTACGATTCAATCTTAGTCCTGTATTGACTCTTTGCCTGTTTGATCGTTCGTCGGAGGGCAGTAAGCTTGATCAGTGAATATATCCATGTTCCATGCTTATCCCCTAATCCTAGCCTGTATTCCTCCACCTTGGGGAGACAATGCATGCATAAGACACTACCTCTTGTTCAAACCAAATAGACACACAAACAGTCTGGGCCATATAAGGCTCAAGGCTCATGTAGTCTCAAATCGGTATTGACGTGTCTTCCTGGAAGCCAAATAGAAAAGTGGTAGATGTTTAGTGGCGGCCATAGTGATTCTTCACCCTACTATGCTGCCTCAGCAGCCCTGTAGCATGTAATGTTGTCAACAGCATGGCTACACTGGCCTGTAAACATCTTTGACCCTTGGGCCTCTATGTCAGGGCTAACTAAACACAGCTACAGGGCTAACTAAACACAGCTACAGGGCTAACTAAAAAAAGCTGCAGGGCTACTAAACACAGCTTAGGGCTAACTAAACAGCTTAGGGCTAACTAAACAGCTTAGGGCTAACTAAACAGCTACAGGGCTAACTAAACAGCTTAGGGCTAACTAAACAGCTACAGGGCTAACTAAACAGCTGCAGGGCTAACTAAACAGCTTAGGGCTAACTAAACAGCTACAGGGCTAACTAAACAGCTTAGGGCTAACTAAACAGCTACAGGGCTAACTAAACAGCTTAGGGCTAACTAAACAGCTACAGGGCTAACTAAACAGCTTAGGGCTAACTAAACAGCTACAGGGCTAACTAACAGCTTAGGGCTAACTAAACAGCTACAGGGCTAACTAAACAGCTTAGGGCTAACTAAACAGCTACAGGGCTAACTAAACAGCTACAGGGCTAACTAAACAGCTACAGGGCTAACTAAACAGCTACAGGGCTAACTAAACAGCTACAGGGCTAACTAAACAGCTACAGGGCTAACTAAACAGCTACAGGGCTAACTAAACAGCTACAGGGCTAACTAAACAGCTACAGGGCTAACTAAAACAGCTACAGGGCTAACTAAAACAGCTACGGGCTAACTAAAACAGCTACAGGGCTAACTAAACAGCTACAGGGCTAACTAAACAGCTACAGGGCTAACTAAACAGCTACAGGGCTAACTAAACAGCTACAGGGCTAACTAAACAGCTACAGGGCTAACTAAACAGCTTAAGGCTAACTAAACAGCTTAGGGCTAACTAAACAGCTACAGGGCTAACTAAACAGCTTAGGGCTAACTAAACAGCTACAGGGCTAACTAAACAGCTACAAAGTTAACTGAACAGGCCCTCACTAACCCTGACTAAGCAAGATGAGATTGCATGAGAGACAGGGTTCAATTCCAGTCAATTCCGAAAGTAAACAAAATTCCAATTCCAAATTTTTGCCAGGGAGGGGGGGGGGGAGAAATCTAGACCCGACAAATCAATACCGTTGCCAGGAACACACCCATCCATCGTTTTGCCGCTCCATCCTGCTAGACAGGTCTGAATAAGACTTGATACGGGGGCGGCTGTAGATCACAGTGAACGACAAGTCCCTCCCTCGTACCCGTCGTATTTCCCGTGAGTGACAGACGGGCCAAGGGCCCTGTCCCAGTGAGGAACGGCTCAATATTACACAGCAACTCATTGGCAACGGGAACTCATAACAGCAATTGGTCTGAACCCAGGCTGCATTTGTCTGGGTGGCTGTCTGTACACAGTGTGTCTGTAGTGTACACAGCCTGTACACAGCTGAAAGAACACAGCCATTTCCAGGGTCGAATAGATTAGAAAGTGAGGCACGATTGATATGAAGATAGAAACAGTGTGATTGATTTGGTGTCAACAGACCTTTAGCTCTAAAGGTGTAATATCGCCTGCCGTGCCTTGCCACTTTGGATGGTAATGTCTATGAACCCACCATCAGTCCTAGTGCTGTCTGTACTCAGCTGAAAGAACCATTTCAAGGGTCTAATACTGCCCACTCTGGATGGCACGCTGCATTGAGAGCCACTCCATTTAAGGAGATGGATAGATATATTCTATTAAGATAGATAGGCAATGCTTTATGTACCTTATTAGGCAATGCTTTATGTACCTTATTAGGCAATGCTTTATGTACCTTATTAGGCAATGCTTTATGTACCTTATTAGGCAATGCTTTATGTACCTTATTAGGCAATGCTTTATGTACCTTATTAGGCGATGCTTTATGTACCTTATTAGGCAATGCTTTATGTACCTTATTAGGCAATGCTTTATGTACCTTATTAGGCAATGCTTTATGTACCTTATTAGGCAATGCTTTATGTACCTTATTAGGCAATGCTTTATCGAACCTATTATGGTGCAGAATGTATCAATTTCCAGTTTCAAGAAGTGCCCTTTCTGACAGCTGTCTTATTGGATGTGTTCAGATCAATTTATAGATTTCATAATTGTGCCTGTCATGTAATTTATACTGAACAAAAATATAAAAGCAACATGCAACAATTTCAAAGACCAACACTTTACATGTCGCGTTTATATTTTTCTTCAGTCAATCAATCAATCATTCATGTGAAAGAGGATAGTGATTAATTTTCTACCAGATTAGATAAAAGCAAAACGAACTATTGAATTTGTTTGAAGTTAATGTAACATTCTGTTGGATAAACCTGTATTTGTAAGTGTCGGGTGGACGGTGGAATGTGGAATGTGGATGCTCTTCAGAGAGATTTTAGAAGGAAGGAATGGGAGCTTCTACCACTATCTGAACAGCTTCTCGTACTCAACTATAATACCCACAATCCCACTTATCTCTGTTAATCTGACACAGCCAATCAGATCATCAGGATGCTCATCCTCAGCCAATCATTCACTCTGCTCTGACAGAACCTTGCCTCGGTCAACGTGTGTGTGTCCCTCTGTCGTATGTGTGTTGCCTAATCCCAAATGGACCCCTAGCCCCTACACTCTAGTTACTTCAGTTGATCTGAGGAGACGGGAGAGATGTAAGCAATATGCTGAAAACCTACACCTTACCAATCCTCTTAGAACCAATGTCTTAGAGGTATGGTTTGATTTGGGATTAGGAATGTATGTGTGTCTGGGCGCGTTTGAGATCGACTACATTGCAGTCGTCGACTGCAGACTGACTGTTCTACAATGAGTAGTCAGTATTCAGTCCGTCGCCGACTGCAATATAGTCGATCTCAAACACACACTTCCCCTTTATGTTGTGTATATATATATATCCCATTCTTATTTCACCAGTGGAGGGTGTTGAGCTGGCTGACCCTACAGACGTGCTGGACAGGCACAGATGCCTGTTGGCCCTGGCGGCTCTGCGACATGCCAAATGGTTCCAGGTTGGCTCTCAGTTCTACTTAACCTCTCCGTCGTTATTGTAGCCTTATGATCACAGGAACATGAATGAATCAAAATAATCAAATGAATCAATAAAATGAATCAAAGCACATCATTTTATTTGAAATGGCAGCTATCTTCAAACTATAATTGAAAACATTCATATGATAACACAATCAATTTCTCTCGTACAAAAATTACTCAATCATTCAATCGTGCTCTGTGTAGTACAATAGCCTACAGTGAGAGACATCATTACAACACTGTATATAGACATAATATGACACTTTAAATGTGTTTATTCTTTTAGAACTTTTGTGAGAGAGAGAGAGAGAGAGAGAGAGAGAGAGAACAGAGAGAGACAGAGAGAGAGAGAGAGAGAGAGAGAGACAGAGAGAGAGAGAGAGAGAGAGAGAGAGAGAGAGAGAGAGAGACAGAGAGAGAGAGAGAGAGAGAGAGAGAGAGAGAGAGAGGGAGGGAGAGAGAGAGAGAGAGAGAGAGAGAGAGAGAGAGAGAGAGAGAGAGAGAGGGAGGGAGGGAGAGAGGCTACAAAAGCAATTGTTTCGTTTGGCTGTTCTGAAACCTGCCTGACTGTCATAAATGTCAATGCTTTTTTCTACCACTCTCAACCAAACAAAGCAAAAAAATTAATAATAATAACAAACACTTTTTCCTGGAGTTAATGATTCCGCCACAACTTAGTTCCAGGCTATACAGCTCCATTTACTAACATTACGTTTACAGATATTATACAGTACTACTCCTCTAGTCCTCATATCATTGTTACAGTTGAAGTCGGAAGTTTACATACACTTAGGTTGGAGTCATTAAAACTCATTTTTCAACCACTCCACAAATGTCTTGTTAACAAACTATAGTTTTGGCAAGTCGGTTAGGACATCTACTTTTGCATGACACAAGTAATTTTTCCAACAATTGTTTACAGACAGATTATTTCACTTATAATTCACTGTATCACAATTCCAGTGGGCCAGAAGTTTACATACACTAAGTTGACTGTGCCTTTAAACAGCTTGGAAATTTCCAGAAAATGAATAGAAGCTTTAGAAGCTTCTGATAGGCTAATTGACATAATTTGAGTCAATTGGAGGTGTACCTGTGGATGTATTTCAAGGCCTACCTTCAAACTCAGTGCCTCTTTGCTTGACATCATGGGAAAATCAAAAGAAATCAGCCAAGACCTCAGAAAAAAAACTGTAGACCTCCACAAGTCTGGTTCATCCTTGGGAGCAATTTCCAAACGCCTGAAGGTACCACGTTCATCTGTACAAACATTAGTACGCAAGTATAAACACCATGGGACCACGCAGCCGTCATAACGCTCAGGAAGGAGACGAGTTCTGTCTCCTAGAGATGAACGTACTTTGGTGCAAATCAATCCCAGAACAACAGCAAAGGACCTTGTGAAGATGCTGGAGGAAAACAGGTACAAAAGTATCTATATCCACAGTAAAACAAGTCCTATATCGACATAACCTGAAAGGCCGCTCAGCAAGGAAGAAGCCACTGCTCCAAAACCGCCATAAAAAAAGCCAGGCTACAGTTTGCAACTGCACATGGGGACAAATATCTTACTTTTTGGAGAAATGTCTTCTGGTCTGATTAAGCAAAAATATAATTGTTTGGCCATAATGACCATCGTTATGTTTGGAGGAAAAAGGGGGTTACTTGCAAGCCGAAGAACACCATCCCAACCATGAAGCACGGGGGTGGCAGCATCATGCTGTGGGGGTGCTTTGCTGCAGTAGGGACTGGTGCACTTCACAAAATAGATGGCATCATGAGGAAGGAAAATGATGTGGATATATTGAAGCAACATCTCAAGACATCAGTCAGGAAGTTAAAGCTTGGTCGCAAATGGGTCTTCCAAATGGACAATGACCCCAAGCATACTTCCAAAGTTGTGGCAAAATGGTTTAAGGACAACAAAGTCAAGGTATTGGAGTGGCCATCACAAAGCCCAGACCTCAATCCTATAGAAAATGTGTGGGCAGAACTGAAAAGGCGTGTGCGAGCAAGGAGGCCTACAAACCTGACTCAGTTACACCAGCTCTGTCAACTTATTGTGGGAGGCTTGCGGAAGGCTACCCAAAACGTTTGACCCAAGTTAAACATTTTAAAGGCAATGCTACCAAATACTAATTGAGTATATGTAAACTTCTGACCCACTGGGAATGTGATGAAAGAAATAAAAGCTGAATTAAATCATTCTCTCTACTATTATTCTGACATTTCACATTCTTAAAATAAAGTGGTGTTCCTAACTGACCTAAGACAGGGAATTTTTACTAGGATTAAATGTCAGGAATTGTGAAAAACTGAGTTTAAATGTATTTGGCTAAGGTGTATGTAAACTACCGACTTCAACTGTACCTCCTCTCCATCTCCTCTCAGGCCAGAGTAAATGGGTTGAAGTCGTGTGTCATCATCCTCAGGATCCTGAGAGACATGAGCAATAGACTACCGGCCTGGGAACCACTCAAAGGATGGGTGAGTCTGTCTGTACCAAGTCTGTCAGAGTCTGCACAGTTGAAAGGGGTGCAGTAGTGGTGCGCGGTTCAGCTGTTTGTTCACCTGCCTGCAATTGCTAATAACCCATCCGCAACCGCCCGACTATATGTGATAAAGTGAAAATATGAGGCTTACACCCGGCCCTAACCCGCTAATATAGAAAATGCCTGTAGGCTACAGTCAGAGACAGCGGAACTAATTTCTGACGGGGGGTGCAGGATTTTTTTAGCCTGATTTAGATATTTCTGCTTATAACTTCCAACATTCTGGTAGGCTATCTGTTAGTCAACTTGTCTATAATTAGATACATGCAGCTTCTCTTCTGTCATTATATATGTTTCCCTAGAAGACTAAATAAACCCTTGCTCACCATCTGGTTGACATTGGTAAAGTTTTCTGTCATCTTTGCTTCTTTCGCGGAGAAAATACGTTTAGGGACCGGGGAGAAAATGTACTCTAAAAAAGCAGAAAAGGTTTTCTGTGCAACATTTTAAAAATGACAAGATTTCAGTTCGGCTTGGATGCGTATTTTATGTGGTTGAAATAGCCTGCTATCAGCTTTTATGATGCTGATAGAGATAGCACCTCTACAGACTGTATCTAACTGCACATTCATATTCTCTCAAGATGCTGACAGAAATAAATCATATTTCTCCACTCCTGTTCCAGAGTCAAAATGTTGCCTCCATTTGGTGAATCATTTTACAGCAAGAAATGCTTAATTCTGCAGGAGTTAATATTAAGGCAATGTGAGAGGTTATAGACCTACAGTCAGTGTCCAGATTTCAGTTTCCATTTAACCTATCTGAACAGTAGGCTACAGTTCCCTTGACCTGCCATTGGCCTATTTGAAGTCCCTGTCTTGTGACTGTTGAATTTGTATAGAGCCTCACAACCATCACACATAATATAGCTGACACTGCTATCATCCTCTTTTACCACTTCACCAAATCTTTCCCAAACATGTATTTTCTGGCCCTCCCTTCTGTTTATCTTCAACTCAACATTTCACAGCTTTTCTCTTATTGAATTAAACTCCCACATTGTCCTTTCTGCCTCCATGTATCGACGTTAACTTTTTCTGCCCGTTCCCAAAAGCATTTGGCAATTGGCGTGTAGGCTATTTGGCATGTGTACAGTTAGGCCCTAAAGCTCAGGCTTTCGCACTAATGCCAAATAGCCTAAAAGAATGAAAGAAAAACCTCAATGTAGCCTATATATATAAATTGCACAAGAACGATACATGAATGGTTTTTTTAAGGCATTGTTTTCTCTTTAATCTGCCCGCCACCCGCCCGCCCTTCATCCACACCATATTTAATGACCTTAAACCTGCCCACCCCGCGGATATAACCGTGGGGACTGCGGGTTGAGTCAACCCGCTGATATAACCGTGGGGACTGCGGGTTGAGTCAACCCGCTGATATAACCGTGGGGACTGTGGGTTATAAGTCAACCCGCTGATATAACCGTGGGGACTGCGGGTTATGAGTCAACCCGCTGATATAACCGTGGGGACTGCGGGTTATGAGTCAACCCGCTGATATAACCGTGGGGACTGCGGGTTATGAGTCAACCCGCTGATATAACCGTGGGGACTGCGGGTTATGAGTCAACCCGCTGATATAACCGTGGGGACTGCGGGTTATGAGTCAACCCCCTCATAAATAGTGTACAGGTGTAGTTTGCACATCCAGCATATTCCCAGTCGCAAGGAGAAAATAAAAAACTGCATTTGAAAAAGAAAGAAACTCCAGTATATACAGTGGTGAGAAGTATTTGATACACTGCCGATTTTGCAGGTTTTCCTACTTACAAAGCATGTAGAGGTCTGTTATTTTTATCATAGGTGCACTTCAACTGTGAGAGACAGAATCAAGAAAATCACATTGTATGATTTTTAAGTAATTAATTTGCATTTTATTGCATGACATAAGTATTTGATACATCAGAAAAGCAGAACTTAATATTTGGTAGAGAAACCTTTGTTTGCAATTACAGAGATCATACGTTTCCTGTAGGTCTTGACCAGGTTTGCACACACTGCAGCAGGGATTTTGGCCCACTCCTCCATACAGACCTTCTCCAGATCCTTCAGGTTTCGGGGCTGTCGCTGGGCAATACGGACTTTCAGCTCCCTCCAAAGATTTTCTATTGGGTTCAGGTCTGGAGACTGGCTAGGCCACTCCAGGACCTTGAGATGCTTCTTATGGAGCCACTCCTTAGTTGCCCTGGCTGTGTGTTTCGGGTCGTTGTCATGCTGGAAGACCCAGCCACGACCCATCTTCAATGCTCTTACTGAGGGAAGGAGGTTGTTGGCCAAGATCTCGCGATACATTGCCCCATCCATCCTCCCCTCAATACGGTGCAGTCGTCCTGTCCCCTTTGCAGAAAAGCATCCCCAAAGAATGATGTTTCCACCTCCATGCTTCACGGTTGGGATGGTGTTCTTGGGGTTGTACTCATCCTTCTTCTTCCTCCAAACACGGCGAGTGGAGTTTAGACCAAAAAGCTCTATTTTTGTCTCATCAGACCACATGACCTTCTCCCATTCCTCCTCTGGATCATCCAGATGGTCATTGGCAAACTTCAGACGGGCCTGGACATGCGCTGGCTTGAGCAGGGGGACCTTGCGTGCGCTGCAGGATTTTAATCCATGACGGCGTAGTGTGTTACTAATGGTTTTCTTTGAGACTGTGGTCCCAGCTCTCTTCAGGTCATTGACCAGGTCCTGCCGTGTTGTTCTGGGCTGATCCCTCACCTTCCTCATGATCATTAATGCCCCACGAGGTGAGATCTTGCATGGAGCCCCAGACCGAGGGTGATTGACCGTCATCTTGAACTTCTTCCATTTTCAAATAATTGTGCCAACAGTTGTTGCCTTCTCACCAAGCTGCTTGCCTATTGTCCTGTAGCCCATCCCAGCCTTGTGCAGGTCTACAATTCTATCCCTGATGTCCTTACACAGCTCTCTGGTCTTGGCCATTGTGGAGAGGCTGGAGTCTGTTTGATTGAGTGTGTGGACAGGTGTCTTTTATACAGGTAACGAGTTCAAACAGGTGCAGTTATTACAGGTAATGAGTGGAGAACAGGAGGGCTTCTTAAAGAAAAACTAACAGGTCTGTGAGAGACGGAATTCTTACTGGTTGGTAGGTGATCAAATACTTATGTCATGCAATAAAATGCAAATTAATTACTTAAAAATCATACAATATGATTTTCTGGATTTTTGTTTTAGATTCCGTCTCTCACAGTTGAAGTGTACCTATGATACAAATTACAGACCTCTACATGCTTTGTAAGTAGGAAAACCTGCAGTGTATCAAATACTTGTTTTCCCCACTGTAGGTAATCTTGACCCAAGATATCTCCGAACAAAAGTGGTTTGTGTGTCACTAACAGCCACTCTGATCTCTCTGTCCTTACTTGATCTTAATCTTGATATCTCTCCCTCTCATCCCCAGCCCCTGGAGCTGATCTGTGAGAAGGCCATAGCCACGTGTAACCGGCCGCTGGGTGCAGGGGAGGCCCTCCGTAGAGTCATGGAGTGTCTCGCCTCAGGAATCCTGCTCCCAGGTACAGTACCTACCAGTTTCTCTATTTCTTTCTTTCTTCCTTCTCTCTCAATCTTCTCGTTCTTCCTCTTTATCTCTTTGTCTTTCTCGTTCTATCTATCTGTCTGTCTATCTGTCTGTCTGTCTCTACTCTCTCTTTCTCTCTTCCCTGTTACGAACAGAAATGGGAAAACAACAATCCTGTTAATGCTTTCTAATAATCAGGATGTTGATATTTGATGATATTGATATTTCAATACTAACTCATTAGTATTGAATGTTTTAGGAATCAGAGGCTCATTCAGTTGACCTGGGGGAGCAGGGAATAAGGAGGGGGGAGGTATGTTTGTCTCACTGATGGCTCTTTGAAAGAGTGCCACGCTCGATGATGATGTTTTGAAAGCAGTGAAGAAGTGATTGAAAGATAGTATGATGTTGATAGTTACTGTATTGATATTATAATGAAAACACAGGAAGGGATGGAATGATACTGTATTGATATTATAATGAAAACACAGGCAGGGATGGAATGATACTGTATTGCTATTATAATGAAAACACAGGAAGGGATGGAATGATACTGTATTGATACTATAATGAAAACACAGGAAGGGATGGAATGATACTGTATTGATATTGTAATGAAAACACAGGAAGGGATGGAATGATACTGTATTGATATTGTAATGAAAACACAGGAAGGGATGGAATGATACTGTATTGATATAGTTTTGAAAACACAGGAAGGGATGGAATGATACTGTATTGATATTATAATGAAAACACAGGAAGGGATGGAATGATACTGTATTGATATTGTAATGAAAACACAGGAAGGGATGGAATGATACTGTATTGATATAGTTTTGAAAACACAGGAAGGGATGGAATGATACTGTATTGATATTATAATAAAAACACAGGAAGGGATGGAATGATACTGTATTGATATAGTTTTGAAAACACAGGAAGGGATGGAATGATACTGTATTGATATCGTTTTGAAAACACAGGAAGGGATGGAATGATACTGTATTGATATCGTTTTGAAAACACAGGAAGGGATGGAATAATACTGTATTGATATAGTTTTGAAAACACAGGAAGGGATGGAATGATACTGTATTGATATTGTAATGTAAACCCAGGAAGGGATGGAATGATACTGTATTGATATTGTAATGAAAACACAGGAAGGGATGGAATGATACTGTATTGATATTGTAATGTAAACCCAGGAAGGGATGGAATGATACTGTATTGATATTGTAATGAAAACACAGGAAGGGATGGAATGATACTGTATTGATATAGTTTTGAAAAACAGGAAGGGATGGAATGATACTGTATTGATATAGTTTTGAAAACACAGGAAGGGATGGATTGATACTGTATTGATATTATAATGAAACACCAGAAAATTATGATGTCACATCGATGCGGCCACTTTTGAATAAAAGATGTCTCCTTCCGACCCACAGGAGGACCAGGGTTACACGACCCATGTGAGAAGGAGCTGACCAACACCCTGACGGCCATGACAGACGAGGAGGCTGAGGCCATCACCTACAACGCACAGGTAATACCTCACCTCACACCTGTGGAACTTGTCACTTATAACTTGCGAGATAAATAACCTTGCCTGAGATCTGATGCCGTGTGCTAATGCCTCAAGGCTTTAGCTCAGAGGGCTAACACAGTTTGTGGCATGCAGGAGACCTAGGTTTCAACCCTGTCTGTCACTCCTGGAGGCCAATACCTATAACGTCCATGTAGAGTAGGTAGTGTCTGCAGCGAGTGTTTAGTGTTGAGAGCAGCTAACCCGGGGGACTCCATCCTCATATCTCCTCTGTAGCCTGGAGATTAGACTCCTGTCAGACAGGGAAGAGCCCTTAAAGATGCTCTGTTCAGCTAGCCGCTCTTATCGAGAGAGAGAGAGAGAAGAGAGAGAGAGAGAGAGAGAGAGAGAGAGAGAGAGAGAGGAGAGAGAGAGAGAGAGAGAGAGAGAGAGAGAGAGAGGATAGAGGAGAGAGGAGAAGAGGGCAGAGAGAGAGAGAGAGAGAGAGAGAGAGAATATCTAATATATTTGCATTAGAAAACTCACTGTGGAGCTGATACTCTACAAAGTGGGTGTGTGTTTAGCCCCAAAGGCATACATTTTATCTTAGGTAAGCCGGTGCTGCTTCTCCTTACATTTTTCTCTCAGGTGCCAAACTGCCAATCACAATATACACAATATATTTCCCGCCATACATAGTCATAGATACAGTGAACCATGAAGACCCAGTGACTTCTCTATGTCACTAGTCTCAGCCACAGCAATGTGCTGCTCAAATGATCTGCTTGTATTGTTTACATGGAGTTAGTACTGGAGCCACTGTTGCTAAGTAAACCCAGTGACGCCTGGCGAGTGTTATGGCAGTTGTTGCAGAAGAGGTATGTGTTCATAAAAACAAACAACAGTAAAACCATTTGTTTTATTTAAATGGGATCAATGAACCGTTGGAGATTAGATCTGTTTGTTTTGTGAGTTATTCCTCTCTCTGTTTCTGTCGGTCTGTTTACCTCCTCACCTGTCTGTTTTACACAGTAGACTGTTGAGGGGCTTTGACAGATTGGCCGAGACAAGGATCGAACCACCATTGCCAGGGGGGGAGATGTGTGGTCCGGAGTTTCAGCTTTTGCCACTATAACTATAGACTCCGGTTGTCTCTTCTGTCTCTTTCTGTCTGCGTCTGTCCTCCTGTCTGTCTCTTTCTGTCTGCGTCTGTCCTCCTGGTCTCTTTTCCTGTCTGCCAGTGACTCTCTTGCACTATCTACAACAATGTGTGGTCGTGTGTGTTAGACACCAGTGCAATAACCCATCGCCTTGTATCAGTTGTCAAGGGTATGTTTCATCACAAAAACATTGTTTCTTTAATGGGCACAATGAACCGTGAATTAGATCGTTGTTTATTTTCCTCTCTGTCTGTCGTCTGTAACCTCTCTCACTGTCCTGTTTTACACAGTAACTGTGGGCTCAGATTGGCTGATGACAGGATGAACCACCATTGCCAGGTGGCTGGGAGTTGTAGTGTTGCAGAGAGGTTGGCAGCTTTACACACTAACTAAAACCGTTTGTCTCTTTTTCTAAATGGCATTCATGACCGTCTGTCCTAGTCTGTCTCTGTTTCTGTCTGCGTCTGTCCTCTCTGTTCTGTCGGTCTGTTTATCTGTCACCTGTCTGTTTACACGTCTGTCTGGGTGCTTGACGATTGCCGAGAAAGGTCGACCCCATTGCAGGTGGTGGATGTGCTGGTCTGTTCCTTTGCCCTGCTCTGACTCATTCTGTTGTCATCTCTGTCTCTTCTGTCTGCGTCTCTCCTCCTCTCTCTGTCTCTCTCTCCGTCTGTCTCTTCTCTTCTGTCTCTTTCTGTCTGGTGTCTCTTTCTCTCTCTCTCTGTCTCATCCTCTCTCCTCTCTCCTCCACCATCGTCTTCTCTCTCTCTATCTCTCTGATCTCTCTCTCTCTCCTTTCCTCTCTCTGGTCTCTCTTCTCACTCTCATCTCTCTCTGCTCTCGTCTTCTCTCTCTCTCTCTCTCTGTCTCTCTCTCTCTCGCTCTCTCTTCCAGCACGCTCTGAGACTGATGGCGTTCGGTCAGATCTACAAGGTGCTGGAGATGGACCCTTTGACCTCTAGTAAACCCCAGAAGTACCCCTGGTCAGACAGGGAGGGCTCCGGGCTAAAGAGGCCTTACGAGGACAGGCCCATGGACGACAAAGACCTCATCAAGAAGATGAAGAGGAACCTGAGGAAAGGTCAGCTCTGTCCCCCTGACCCCTGACCTTGCTCAGTCATGTGACCTGGGCCATGTGATAATATAAGATGAGAAGATAGGTAGGGGAGGGAATGGCCGGCAGGGATGTAGCTCAGTTGGTAGAGCATGGCGTTTGCAACGCCAGGGTTGTGGGTTCGATTCCCACGGGGGGGCCAGTATGAAAAATCTAAAAAAATAACGTAGGCACTCGCTAACTGTAAGTCGCTCTGGATAAGAGCGTCTGCTAAATGACTAAAATAAATATATATAAACTTAATTGTCCACAGACATTTTTCTTGGACAATTATGGCCAGTATTTTCTCTAGTTGGCTATACAGAATAAACTGATCTGGGACCAGGCTATAATAAACTGATCTGGGACCAGGCTATCCTTTCCCCCTCTCTATCTCTGGTTCTTACCAACTTTCTTTTGCTGAAGGCAGATACAACACAACCCACTGGGAAATCAATCATTATTGATATCGATATTTTCTCAAAGCCATCCAGCTGTCTCTTATCCTGTCGTCCCAGTTAGAGGAAAAGAGATTGGTTAGAAAGAAACAGATTTAGCATTGAGCTTTTTGAAGGATGAATCTGGAATAGAATAGTGCACAGAGCCACACACACAGTCAGAATGTGAAGCTGTTACCTGAGGATTCTATCAAAACAGTTTTTGTGTTTTGAGATAGTAGTTGGTGGTTGAGTAGTGCTACTATGTTAGAATTAGGCAGAAATGATGGTCTTTGGAAGCAAGGGTCCCCTTTGTAATAGTCAAAAACACAATAAAAATCTCCAAGGCAACTTCTCACACAGTGTTCTGTCAAAAGTATTTATTATAACCCCATGTACGTATTTAAAATATATTTGTTGATTGAACAACAACCACTGTTATTTTGTTTACACTCTCTTGTATCTCTCTCCCTTTCCCTGTCTCTCTCTCTCTATCTCTCTCTATCTCTCTCTCTCTTTCCCTTACTCTCTCTCCCCCACCCCCCCTCCAGTCCTCGACAGCAAAGCAATAGACACCAACCAACCAATGAATGCTCTGATGCGTCTGAATCAGATACGTCCAGGTCTGCAGTACAAGCTGCTGTCCCAGTCCGGCCCGGTCCACGCTCCTGTCTTCACCATGTCTGTAGACGTAGACAGCACTGTGTACGAAGCCTCAGGCTCCTCAAAGAAGACCGCCAAGCTGCATGTTGCTGTGAAGGTAAAAGAGTTTGACCCCTATTGGCCAGGTCACTGAGAGAAGGGGTGGATAAATGTTGGGAAGGGGAGGTAAATAAAAAGGGTGGGTCGGAGGGGAGAGAGCCTAAATAAAGGGCAAGGACCCACGTTTTACGGGCTCCTGACCAATTCTGCTATTTTGTGGGGGGTTTTACGCTGATCATAACATTTTTGTACATTATT